CACAATAAACTTCAAATACATAAAAGAACACATACTGGAATGAAACCCTATGAATGTAATCAGTGTGGTAAAGCCTTTGCTCATCATGCTAATCTTCAAGTGCATAAAAGAATACATACTGGAGAGAAACCCTATGAATGTAATCAATGTGGTAAAGCCTTTGTACAACACAATCAACTTCAAGTGCATAAAAGAACACACACTGGAGAGAAACCCTATGGATGTAATCAATGTGGTAAAGCCTTTGTTCATCACAGTACTCTTCAAAGGCATGGAAGAACACATACTGGAGAGAAACCCTATGAATGTAATCAATGTGGTAAAGCCTTTGCACATGACAAGAATCTCAGAGTACATAAAAGAACACATACTGGAGAGAAACCCTATGAATGTAATCAGTGTGGTAAAGCCTTTGCACAGCACTGTACTCTTCAAATGCATAAAAGAATACATACTGGAGAGAAACCCTATGTATGTAATCAGTGTGGTAAAGCCTTTACATGTCATAGTTATCTTCAAAGGCATGAAAGAACACATACTGGAGAAAAACCCTATCAATGTAATCAATGTGGTAAAGCCTTCGCACAGCACTGTACTCTTCAAGTCCATAAAAGAACACATACTGGAGACAAACCCTATGTATGTAATCATTGTGGTAAAGCCTTTGCATGTATCAGTAGTCTTCGAAATCATGAGAAAATGACATATTGCAGAGAAACCCTGTAAATGTAGTCAGTGTGGTAATGTTTTACAGTTTATACAGGAGCAAAGTTTTTTATGTGACGTCATTCTGTTAAAGCCATACATATTACAATAGTCTTTGAGTACCTGAAAAAAAAATCATGAGAGCTTATTATTTGGGAAGATCTTTATCCAACACACTTGCATTCAGTTACACAACAGTATTCTGTAGGAAAAAAATTGATGTCAACAATCTGTTCAAGCATTATTATGTCCATTTTTATATTGTTTGTACCCGCAAACTTATAGGAAAATGAATTTATGAATCCCTACATGTAGGGTAAAAGGGCCAGCCAAAGAAACACACCCTGACCCTGAAACCAGAGCCAAAAGGTTAAAAAAGGCCAGTGAATGAAACACACTTTGGCCTTGAAAACAGAGCACACACTACCCCTGACCAACTGAGCACGAAACCAACCAATCCCTGAGCAGGAATTCTGGATCTAGGCACCCAAACCCCTATAAACCTATGCTGAGACAACTTTACTCAACCTGACAACCAGTCAATTACCAGAACACTTGGCCATTCAGGCTGAAAGGCAATAAAGGAAACAGAAAATAAAGGAACAAAAGACCCATCCAACAGAGACATCACATGAAGTAACACCTATACCTATAATTATCCCAAACCCAGATGGGTAAATGACAATGTAAGAATATATTCAACAACATAAAGGGCAATATGGCACCACCAGAACCTAGTGGTCCTACCACCCCAACACAGATGAAGCAGAAGAAAACAATTGTAGAAATAACTTTAAGATGATAGAGACCCTTAGAGAGGAAATGAAAAATTTCCTTAAAGAAATTGAGGAAACAATAAAGAAAGAATTGGAAGAAATAAATAAATCCCTCAAAGAAAACCAAGAAGAAGCAATCAAACAGGTGATGGAAACAGTTTAAGACCTGAAAATTGAAATAGAAGCAATGAAGAAGACACAAACTGAGGGAATGCTGGAAATGGAAAATCTGAGTAAACAAACAGGAACTACAGATGCAAGCATAACCAACAGAATACAAGAGATTTCCAGAGAATCTCAGGAATGGAGGATATCAATAGAGGAAACAGATTCATCAGTCAAAGAAGACACTAAAGCCAAAAACGTCATAATACGCCATGAAAAGACCAAACGTAAGAATAATAGGGATAGAACAATACCAGCTCGAAGGCACAGAAAATATATTCAACAAAAATCATAGAAGAAAACTTTCCCAACCTAAAGAAGGAAATGCCTATGAAGATACAAGAAGCTTACAAAGCACCAAATAGACTAGACCCACCAAAAAAGTCCTCTTGCCACATAATATTCAAACCACTAAACATACAGAATAAAGAAAGAACATTAAGAGCAGCAAAGGAAAAAGGCCAAGTGACTTATAAAGACAGACCCATCAGAATAACACCTGACTTGTCAATGGAGACTCTGAAAGCCAGATGGTCCTGGACAGATGTTGGATGGATATCAACCCAGACTACTATATCAAGCAAAACTTTGAATCACCATAGATGGAGTAAAACAAGATATTCCATGACAAAACCAGATTTAAACAATACCTATCCACAAATCCAACCCTACAGAAAGCACTAGAAGGAAAACCCCAATCTAAGGAAGTTAGATGCAGCCAGGAAAACAAAGGCAATAGATAATCCCACAGCAGCAAACCACTAATAATAATAATAATAATAATAATAATAAGAAGAAGAAGAAGAAGAAGAAGAAGAAGAAGAAGAATTAACCATCACTGGTCATTAATATCCCTTTATATCAATGGACTCAATTTGCCTATAAAAAGACAGGCTAATGGAATGGATATGAAAACAGGATCCATCTTCTATTGCATATAAGAAACACACCTCAACTTCAAAGACAGACACTACCTCAGAGTAAAAGGTTGGTAAAATACTTTCCCATGAAGAAACAAGCCGGCATAGCTATCCTAATATCTAACAAAATAGACTATAAACTAAAATCAATCAAAAGAGATTGGGAAGGACATTACATATTCATTACAGGAAAAATCCATCAAGATGACGTCTCAATTTTGAACAGTTAGACCCCAACTACAAGGGCACCACAAGTGTAAAGAAACATCACTGAAGCTTAAATCACACATCAAACCCCACACACTAGTAGTGGGAGACTTCAACATCCTACTGCCAGACAGAAACTTAACAGAGAAATAAGGGATCTAACAGATGTTATGGCTCAAATGGACTTAATAGATATCTACAGAACATTCCACCCTAACACAAAAGAATATACTTTCTTCTCAGCACCTTGTGGAACCTTCTTTAAAATTGATCACATACTAGGTCACAAAGCAAATCTCAACAGATACAAATAAACTGGAATAACCTATATTTTATCAGACCACCATGGCTTAAAGTTAGATTTCAACAACAAAAATTACTCAACTGAATCACCAATGGGTCAAGGAAAAAATAAAGAAATTAAAGATTTCCTAGAATTCAATGAAACTGAATGTACAACATACCCAAACTTATGGGACACTATGAAAGCAGTGCTATGAGGAAACTTTATAGCACTAAATGCCTACATAAAGAAGTTGAAGAAATGTCACACTAGTGACTTAACAGCACACCTGAAACCTCTAGAACAAAAGGAAGCAAGCCTATCCAAGAGGAGTAGATGG